TCTCAACATATTAACATGAAACTTGTTGTAAACTACTCTAATACACTTATATTTAATTTAGGAATACAGTTTGAGGTCAAGAATAATTTATTGAGTGTGGGGGGGAATAAAGTAAAATAGTTAGTTTTACACATTTTAGCCCTCTCTCAGTAAAGCAGAATAAGTAATCTATTCACAAAAAATTGACTATGTAAATTAAGTATTAATGTATCCAACTAGAATAAACAGTTTTCCAAGCTTATATATCTAGTTTTGATTCAGAGAAAAAATAAAAATGAGTGTTACATAGAAAATTCACATTTTGTACTGTATCTCAGCCAGTTTTTACTCAATTCTCTCCTTTTTTGTTGGAATATGAAAGATATTTTATATTAATGAATTTAGCAACTTAAATCACACAAAATGGTTGAGTATTGATTGAGTTATAGTAAATTTTGTATTCTGACATGTTTAGTGTGACAAAATGTCACAAACCACATCAGTGCCAGGTATTTTGAAAACAGCTGTAATTCAAAAGAAAATGTGTTTGTTTTAATATAATTCTTGCTCAGAATTACTATTTCTATAGAAATAAGTATTCATGTGTATTATTCTTTATTAAAAAAATACTTAGAAAGACTTACATAGAATACAGTTTTCAATTAGAAAATAGTTTTATACATTGACACAATGACAAGTACTGTTTTCAGACTTATAGATTAATATGCACAAATAAAATTGCTTAATTTCTTACATATAATAGAGCTCTTATTTGAAAGATAATTTTTGAATGTTTAATGACTATATAACACTTTGTATTTATAGAGAAAATAGGTTTTTTGTTTAGTTTTTCTTACTTTTAGTAAAGTGTGACCAAAACACGTGAAATCTGTGTGTGACATCATTTTTGAAAACAACTGTACGCCTTACATAACACACAGGCCTTTAGTTTACAGTGCCGCAAAGAACAGCGACGGCACAGCCATCTTCCCGTCATGCTAGTCCAACTAGGACTTGAAAAGTTCCGGATAGGAGACAGCGTATGGTGTCAAGCCATCCTTGCCAGCACAGTTATGCTTTGAGCGACAACTCAACCAGCCAAATAATTCAGAGTGTTTATATTCAAGTAGGATTTTCCACTCATCTTGCATAAATTTCCACAAGTTGAACCAGTTCTAGGTAACCTTTTAAGCACCTAGACTGATACTGTTGGTCAAATTTCGAACCCACGTGCCTGTTCTTATAATGGAACTAAGAGTTCTGTTTGTTTCAGCAGTTACCTATTCCCATTGTAGTTCTTTTCATGGCAAGCCGCTGCTATATCATCTTTCCTCATGGAGCAGTGATACCTCCAGCTTGTGTTTGGAGTTGTTGGAGTTGCCTCTTGGAACAGTATATAACGGTGCATCTCGGTTTACCGTTTACCCAATTACGCCTCGGAAGCGTTGAGAGACAATTCTTACCATGTCTACTTCTGCAATCCCGTCAGACATAGTAACCTTGTGAGTATGGAAGATGCTGTGACTTAGGACCTCTACCGATATCTTCACCTTCGCTTTCGAGTCAGAGCTGGCCCAATAGTCCGTACACGGCTTATGAATGTCCTCCTTATACTAGCTGACATTCGCTATAGCTGCTGGCTGATTTCTTTCACTGGGGCCTCTTTGGAATCTTGACTGTTCAAGTTTGTACGTTGCACCCTAGGATATTGGATTTCTCAGAATCACCGAATCACTCCGTTTAAGATCTCTACCACTTAGCATTTCCAAGGGACCGGATAGCGTTCAAAGCCCTCGTTTACACAATCTACTTAGCGGAAGTTGCACAAACCTTCCTCGTGACGCACGACGCATTCTTTATGTATGCTCAGAAGTATGGACATGTGGATGCTCTGGACGCGGTGCAGACAAGTTGGCTTGCTATACCCGTCTTATGTGGTATAGGCCCGTCCTTCAATGCAAATTGGGTAATGTGATGCACCCCTGACCAATCGCCATTGCACCCACAGTAAGCTGTGCTGCACAACTAAGCTACACGTACCGGATCTTTATCTTGTCCAGGTCGAAACTACTTACATTCGGGATCTCCGTCGTATGGATTATTCGATCTCTGAGCCACGACTGATCTGACTGAGATACATCTTCATCAGATTGCACTCACTCAAGCAACTGCTGGTATCGCCGCGGGTATACAGGCTCATCGAGCTGCAACATACGTCTTGGTAGAATCCAAAGCATTTATTGCTACCACGGTGAGTATGTCAAATGGCTCATATGTAATTGTTGATTTATGTCCCTTCTATATTATTTAGATTTGGTTTTCTGGGAGTGCTTTGTGTGATTTTACCATCGCTGCGTCGATGACAGTGCTCGTTAGTGGACATCCGACGCTTCTTTGTATGCTCTTCTCATTATGCTTTCTCCCTTTTTCTAAACAGCTTCGACGCTGCGACTCTGGGACGCATGCAACCCACGCATTAGTGTCGAAGCTTATTCGGTTGATAATCAAGACTGGCACTTTGACGGGTATTCAGTTCAATAATATATTCCTTTCATTATTCAAATACTAATCTATTTTTTTTTTGATATTACACTTAGCTACACTGACACTTGCCGAAGTGGCCATGTTTTTCGCCTTTCCTCACTTGACCTACTCCGTCTGCCTCTCTATTATCCGGGCTAAACTGTATTCCAATTCTCTTCTGGTGATTTTCAATAGTCGCCTACGTATTGGTAGTCAAATGGACTCTACCTTCATATCAGACGGTAATTTGGACAATGCTACCCGTACCGAGTTCGCCTTGCGCGAAACTTCAAGGAGTCTTAATTCCACAATTATCCTGAGAGGCATTCGTAGTGAAGACCAGACTTCAGATGATACTGCTGCATCTGCATCAATGGTTGGACTTCATTTATATTGTTAAAGTGACTCAGTGAATATGCTCATACTTGTTACTTAGGATAATTAGGCAGCATCGCAACAACACAGGACATATGGCGTGGTCAGCATTTGCAACTCACCTGGCAATCCTGAGAGATAATCGCAATACAAATTCTAGTCAATCCACTTTTACTCCCGAGTTCAGCATGTTTCATGCCAACTTTCTTGCTTATGCCAACTGGATGTCCCGCTTCTTCCAGTCATGATCGGGTAATTCTTCGTAATCAATTTTACGCTCTTTCGAATGTCTGAAATAGAGTAGCCGATCTTGCACCTTCGTTCTCTGTAATAAACTACAACGAAAGAAAGTAAAAGTAAAATGAATGTCTATAACCCCGAGTTAATACCATACGGATACATGACCATTTATGTAGCTTACCTATCATACGATGCGTCATGATGATGCAGGAGAACCGTATAGCCATTTTCTCCCAACGCCCATCGCGTCTTTCTCCCATCTCCAGAATGTTTTGAAAATCCCTTCTACTTGTTCGTTCCAACGACGCTCAAGTAGCGAGCGCATAGGTCTCTGTGCAACGCGCTCTGCGGCGGGCGGGGGTCCGGGTACACGCGGTGGTGCAGTCAACGTGTGCGCAAGGACGCGCATGCTTAACGATTCAAACATGTTAGTACAAAGTCACTGAGAAACGGCGGGATCGAGAAGTAAGAGGACAACTGAGTTAAACTGACTCTGTGCGGTGCGCTTCGGTTTGTGATTTGATTAGGTTTGAGAATCCATAATAGACCTGCTACTGCTGAGTCCATCCCAAACATGTCTGATAAAATTATAAACATACACCACCGGCAACCAGGGCGCCCGACAAAGTGCCCGTAAGGAATGACATGATGGAAGCGAAAGCAAAGGAAGCAAAGATGCCGATCGTGCTGTTTCTCACGTGCACTAACTTCGCTACTTTGACATTGGACATCCATGTCAAATTCTTTCATAAACGTTATAGAACGCTGTGATAACTTCAAGCTCTCAAATCATCGGGATGAGCTAGCTCTTTTCTGTTTCTCAGGTGATCCAAGCTCACTGGCCTCACCCATCGGGCTACTCTGGCCTGAAGTCGTCCATGCACTTCTATTGGACAACGCTACCACACGGAATGAAGGACGAAAGCCTTCTTGGGACTTCATAACATCTTCATCTAGCAGCCAAGATCCAAATCAACCTCACAAGGAACGTATAACACATGTACACTTCGCACCGCACCTCGCAGATAATACATCGCGCTCCGCCGCACTCGCCGCCACATGCAATTACTGGCGAAATAATGGAATATTCGCAGAGGAGATCGGTGGTCGGAAATGGCGTAACGAATTATATCCGATATACAAGACTCCATTTTGTGGATTGACTCCTGAAAATATTATGTGCACAATTGAGCGTTCTGCTGCAGCGTTGTTCGGAATTGTAACGTATGGTGCACACATGACAGTATTTCAGCGGACGAAAGATGGAGAAATTATGGTTTGGGTGCCGACACGTGCAAAGACAAAGCAGACGTATGTGTCTTCACTTCTTGCATACATAGTTTTATACGTTTCCGTGAGGACGGGCTCTGAGATTATTTATCGTTAAATCAGATGGCCCGGCATGCTGGACAACAGCGTTGCAGGCGGAATCTCAGCCGGCATGTCGCCCTTCGAAACAATAGTAAAGGAGTCCATGGAAGAGGCGAGCCTCGCAGAAGACATTGTTCGCAAACATGCTCGCACAGTAGGAGTAACTTCCTATTTCTTCCAGTGAGTGATTTCAATACAGTGCAAGTTGCTTCATCCTGATGTTCTAAATCAGGAAAGGGAAATGGCTCCAGCCAGAAGTTGAGTTAGTAACAATCTTAAAAGCTCCCTTTTCACATTAGTGGTGACCAACGTTCTTTTCCACGTATTGTTAGATATGTATATGATCTAGAAATTCCATTAACAGCAACGGGAGCCGAACTCGAGAGGTTTCGTCCACTGCCTCTGGATGGTGAAGTGGAGACCTTCGAGGTACGTTTCATTCATCATTTCTGCATATTCAAAATACCACTCGACAGCCCCTCGTGTATTCGAAAGTGGTGTGGACCTGTCGGTTGATTATCTACTTGTACTAGCTTTTGTCACTAAAGGATATTATCCCTCGGATACATCAAGAACTCTTCAAACCAAACTGTGCTTTAGGTCTGTCCACTCGGTGCTCTCCTGCGTCATCATCTACTTAACCTCTTACTTTTCCTCCCTGCCCTTCAATTAATGATAACTCGCTTGTCTTGTCTTTTCGAATTCCGTCATGATTGTAGTCCTTGTCGATTTCATGATCCGCCATGGCTACATCACACCAGAGACGGAACCCAACTATTTAGAGATTGTCACACGCCTACATGGGAGGTATGATTATTCTTTCTGGGCTCAATCTGCACCACACGCTTGAATGGGATAAACATGACTCAGGGATGAGGTATTGTTCTCACAGCCAAATAAGAGGCAAAGGAAATATACAAGTTTGAATTAAATCTGGTGTAATTTATCAAGGTGACAACAAGGCATTGATGGGTGCAACAGGCAAGAAATACGGGGATGATGTACAAGTAGTGTATAGAGGGGTGAAGAGAAATAGGTTGTAATATGATGAAATCCGAAGTAGTAAAATTTAAGATAGTGATCTATACGCAATGGATTTATGTATATAGCAAGAAACAGAAGTGAGATAACGAACTGAAGGGGGGTAATTATTAGTGTATATTGTAAGTGACTTTGTTCGACACGTTCCTAGCAGTCAGCGCGAGAAGACACGTCGCAGAGTCTGTGGGTCATCCAGACCCAGAACGCTCTTTGCATTCCGCACTTGAGCCGTTCTGGTCTGGACACCCTTCTGCCCCCCCTGGACCAGGCTTAGCACTTTTGGCAGTACCAAGAGGCAAAGCGGAGGCGGGAACACCAAAATGCTTCCCCAAGTCTTTCGTGGACGTTCTGCTTTTGCCTCCATTCAAGTTCACAGAAACGTCAATGCTGTTCCTGGATCTCTTATGCGAGCTTTTGGTGGGTTTGCTGTCTGAGTCCTGATCGAGTTCTCCGTTGTACAGACTTAAAGGTGTCTCGATAAGAGACTCGCTCGAGAGGAGATTATGCAGTCTTAGTGGCTGTGGTTGCTGTAGTCCTCCGTCCACGGATTTTGCGTCGTACGCACGTTCATCGTCACCCATCAACGGCAGCGTTCTAAAGCTCGGCGACGTATCCGGAGAGTGTATAGGGGATGCATATGGACCCTTCTGTCCCGACGCGCTGAGCACGCGCTCGCGACGACGGAAATGCTCCGGTGGTGGGGAGAGCGGACGAGGGCTGGGTATCGGATCTTCTTCGGGGGTAGGATACGTGACTTCGTTGCTTTTGTTTGGACCGTGATTAGCGTTGCGCGAAGAAAGCTGGAGATTATGGACGTTCTTCGACTTTGTATTCGAGGGAATGGACTTCACGTTCGTTACCGGTGCCGCTTTTAAGCTTGAGTTTGCCCCCGTGTTCCCCGTAAGCTTTTGTGGTGCGGACGAAGCCTGCTTTGACGAGTCTTGCGCTGACGAAATAATCGACTGACACGACAAAGCGCGTGCAAGCTCCTCCGGTGAGATAATAGGTCCCGCGTTAACCGTCATCACTTGATTCTGCCCATGCTTGTGCTGCTCCGAGATAGACGTTGACGAGGGGGTAGTCGGTGCAGTATGCGAAGCCACACAGCTCGAACTCGCGTTGTACCCACTCGATTCCGACGCAGGCCTGGAGTTGGATACGGAAGAAGTATCTGAACCCGAGTTTGAACCTGCGTGATGGACGACGCTTGCCCGTTCTGCTCCAGATACGTTTTCTCTCCGAGTACCCTCTCGTCTGACCTTAGACACATTCGGGTCAGAGGGATCACCGATACACATGAGGCGGGAAGCCTTGCGTGGTAGACATGCGACGTTGTGCAATGCGGACGAGATGGAATGGTGGCGGGAAGGTGAGATAGACGGTGCTGGGAGCGGTGCTGGAGCGGTGGATGTAGACGATGTGGAATACGACGTAGCCGTCTTCGCCTTGGGCATCGAAATGGATTTCTTCCTAAGACGTGCTCCCATCTTCTTTATCGAGTGATCGCCTTCCTTAAAAGCGATGAACGCAGGAGCGTTTAGTAAAGTAGCGAGTGAGTCAATAGAAACGAGCGAAGACGAGCGACGCAGAATGCGCTCTTTATAGACTCTGTCGGCCGCGAAAGACGCCATGAAGCCACAGAGAAGCATGTCTTTCTTGTGGCAGCCAAAGCGTAAACCAGGGTGGAATTAGAAGGTAAATATCGATTAAGTGGTCAAAATATTAGTGGCCAGCACCTAAGCTTAGTCGTTGAGAAAGCGAGAGGGGGGAAAGTTCGTGGCCAGGAAGGGGTGGGCCGGCATGCGTATTTTGAGGGAGATGAGAGCGGTTAGTCGGGGCCATGGGCAACGCACCTGGGGTAATGTACCGCTGGCCGTGGCCCGAGGAATGATGATGCGTCAGTGCAACACGTTGGAGCTGGGAGGCCCATGTGCAAAGCGAGGGTGATTTCTCAGAGTGTATACGGTACCCCAGCGACCAAGTGTCAAGTCTAAGCACTAGAATACCAATGGTCTTTGATTTGGCTTCATGGGTGATTCAGGAGACCACCAGAGCCGGGAAGCAAAAGACTAGCTGAGCGTGAAGACTTGCTTGTAGACGCGATCCGATGTGCTTTGTTGCTAGGACAGACATGCATTTACCGCCAGTATCACGTACGGCAAAGCAACGTTTCAGATTTAGCATTACCTGGTCTCGTACACGTTGTGAGTACTGGACGTGTGAAAGAGCCTGAGCCACGGAACCAAACCTTACTGGGATCGACCATCAGACGAGATCAGATGAACATATTACATAATAATAGACCAATAGCCGACCAATGCGCCTTCCTTCTTTCTGTTCCGTCTTTCTTCCCGCTCTGTCGTCCTCGTCCGACCCGCTACTCTCCTTTATCGAGGCCACACCCCTCTCTTTTAACAATACTTCCCTTCCTAATTTAGTCTTGACCTCAGTTTGCTCCGGTGCGCCGAAGACAACGAAATATCTAGCTGTCATCGCCGTCAGAACTTTGGAAATACGTTACATAAAATCTGAATTAGATATAATAAATACCCCTGCCCTTCACTCCAGTCACCTCGTCTCCCTCTCTTTCCTCCCCCGACATCACTCAACAGATATAATATCCGTACACGCGAGCCGATACGGTTTCTTTAATAGTGAGGTACGTGAAAAATGTCATCCATTTCGTTACGCTAGCGCGTCGTGGCTAATTAACTTCCGCCCTTACCATCGCGTGACTGGTTCAAACTGCAGCGTGCACAAAGGGAGTCGGGAGACACGTCTCTTTTACTCTTAATTTGACCTCCTGAAGGCGGCTATCCACCTCTCCACTCGGTTTTGCTGCGATGTTGTTGCGTCTCGTGCCGGAACCTCCGCTTCCGACCATCCTTTTCACTCTTGCCTTTGGCAACCTACCAGACGGTGTGCCATTTCCCCCATCGTGGACCGCACAATTGCAACACATTCTACATGACGAGCTGGAGCTGCCACAGTGCATCCACGCCCTCGACAAGGCTGTCTGGGCGGCGTGCCTTTTACACGAAGTCACGTTCAGTGTCGCGGCGCAGAGCGTGTCTGTAATCTTTGTCGATGGCACAAGCACTGAGTGGCCCCTGGCAGATGAGAAGCTAGAGAAAGCGTTAAGGGAAGTGATGGAGGACGTTGGTGAGAGCAGTGTAGCCGCAGAGATGGAGCAGCGCCGTGCGCAGGCGATACAGGTTGCTGCCGAGGCCCAAGCGGCGCAGGAGCGCATGCCGGCCTCTCCGAGTGCGCCACCCGCGAAGGGGAAACATAAGAAATCAAGGAGTTTATTGATGTCGCTGGTCGCGTAAGTGCATATATTTCATTCATAAACAAATTCGACTCTGAATTTTCGGTATCGTATATAGATCATTTGTTCCTTCGCATATTCCTCCAGCAGCCCTACCGTCTCTTGTGCCCCCACGATCTATAGCACCTTTGGAACTTGCACCTCCTCCCCCGGAACCGCCTCAGTCCTCTCGTTATTTGCGGCGCAAGGCACGTGCCGCATTGGTCGATATTTATAGACGTTACGTTCTCCTTGCCCTTGCTTCCGACTCGCCTCTTTCAGTGTGCAAAAGCAATACGGAAGGTGTTTCTGCGGCAAACTACGTGCTTTGGAATCTGCATAGTATATTGAAGCGTATCGAAGGACGCATGCACCTGCTCGGAGTGGAGCTTGGCTCCTCTAGTTCCGAATCTTCTGTGAAGACATATAACTCTCATCAAGGTCCGAGAAAGCTCCGTACGTCGCCATCTGCGCTTTCAGAGTCTCCTTTCGACGAAGAGGAGGAAACATCGAGTGCGACCGGCACGGCAGAGAGTACGTCAGACAGCGCTGACACCGAAGCAAGCTCAGTATCGGCCCATACTCCGCGCGACGTGTTGCCAGCGTATCCTCTACTTTGCACTAGTTCTTCGCAAGAGAAGGAGAATGCTGCTATAGAGAATGAGGGTGGAATCGTTAGGCCCGCATCACCCCTTACTGTACCTTCTTCCGCTCCATCGCCTTTACAGCCACGTTCAAGGCCTCAATCTAGGCGACTAACCAGGCGTCCAGCCCCACCCCCTCAGAATCTACAACAACGAGCGCAACCAACACAGCAGCAAGCTCAGCAGCATGAATACGCGCTGTTGCATGCGAGTACTGTCCGGCTGCGCGCTTTGATCTCTCGGAATTCTTCCTTTACGCTAGCTCAAGGGGAAGAAAGGAGCGCGGTTCTCGCAACTTTAGAGAGGAAGAGTCGAAGGCGGGCATGGAGCTGTAGGCAGCTAATGGGTGCTGCAAATGTCGACGTCGGACTGAGAGAGGGCCTTAATATGCCGATGAGAGGAAGTGGTCTTAGATGGTCCTGGGTAGTGAGTGTCGAAGGAGAGAATATCCACGCGCATGGAAGAGTTGGAGTTCCTCGTACGCCGAGACGCCGAGACGCTGGTTTGCCAGCACCGGGGCAGATGCGGATATCGAGAACCATTTCTGTGCCTGTCCTTGCATCGGCATTCGTCGTCCCCTCACAAGCAGGTTGCGTACCTTTTCCACAGACGGAATCGGTGGAAGACTTCTGCTCGACTGGTCCGCAAGATACGAGTCGGCTTTTCGGAGGTGGAGAAGAGAGCGAAAGCGAAGATTCGGAGGCTGAAATCTTTGAACCGCAGAACGCCGGAGGTATGGCTCCGTACGCCTGTTCACGCTCATCGGACGACTTGCCTAGTCTATTCTCTTCCCTTTCTACTTCTTCGTCTACTTCATTATTGCCTTCACCCAACTCCTCCGACGTCGATCCCGAGTTCGAAGATGTAGAGTTTGGCCATGCATCTCAGCCATCGTCGATGCATGCATTCAAAGAGGGGGATGCGTTCGAACCACCATGCGATGCGTCTGCGCCTGCGTTGTGCTTTGAGGAGGCGTGCAAGTGTCGACATGTCACTCCGAGTCGAGAGTCAATTGGTGTGGGCAGAGGGAAAGGCATCGTCCCGAGCTTGATAATGCATGCGAGGAGGAAGACGTTCGCCCGATAGTGTTTCTCCTTCGCTATATTTTCTCTCGCAGTGTTCATCCTCGCTTATCCGTCTTACCTTCCAAGCAAGTTAATCGACCAAATCTGACTCAACGCCGAATTGGACATCTTTACGCCAGTCAACTCATCATCGCACTTCTTCGAGGTCACGATCTTCCATCACCATCTGCATTCTCCTCATCACTCATCATCTCCCAAGCAAATCTCCACGGAGTTCTTATCATACCATCGGCCTTTTGATATCTTATTTTTATTCCTATTAATAGCCTCTTACGCATACGCGTAGCTCGTCGCTCGCTCGCTTTCTGCATAATCTTGTTCTTGTTCCCGTATCACTGTCCCTTGTCAAGCCTCTCATTGCTTTCCCCAACCGCGCTCATTCTCTCTTTCTTTCTCGTGTTTTAGTCGACTTCGCTAAAGGCGAACCCAAGGCAATTTCTGGTCTGTTCTGTTTTCATCGATTGGTCACGCTCCTTGAACAGCAGTTCTCATTCTCATTCTCGTTCTTTTCTTTTTTTGTTCTTCTTTCAAGCTTTTTGGAAGCAATCACTCAATCAAAATCCCAGCATTCTCATGACTGTCTCTTCCCTGCATATCAATGCCGTCATTCAATTGCATTTTCTCTTTTTCCAATGGCACCGCTCCTTGCATGTTCACTTCAATTTTTATCTTATTGCACTTTCGCATTCTCAATCTGGTCTCCCGATGCATTCACCGTCCTCGACCCGCCACTTATTCATATTCCTTCATTTATTCTCGCCTCAGACTCCAATAGGAATTAGTCCTCTCTGATTTCACTTGCAAAGTTCGATGCTCCACTGCAATGGCACTCGTTATTTCATTATTTACCTTGTCTCTCCTTAATTACCCTTCCGGCCTATACTTTTGGTCCAAGAGTCCCTTCCGTGTATACATACTTAGATAGTACCTGTCAACTCATCAAAATCGAAATGAAAGAGAGTTTCAAGCAGAAATTCACGTTCTCACACTGAACAGGTTGCCCTAATTGTCTATTTTACACAATAGGGACAGTATTAGTTTCTGCTTAGTAGCGCTTGATAGCTACTTTACAGTCTGAAAAGTTATGAAGATGGAGTGAGCTCCTAGTTTGTCAATGCAATATATTCTAGGAGGAAAATCAAATCTGGATAGATGCATTGAGATAGTCCACCGTTGAGAAATCTGAAACACGCACATAGTAACAAAATTTAGTAGATATGTGGCGTTGATTTTACAATATTGCTGACAATGCATCAATGTTTTGTCTGAAAACATAAGAATTAACACTTAATATCATTAACAACCAGGTGCAAAATTTTACAGCAAGCAAATAAAACATGAGACATGTTTTGATGATTGATTTTGTTTCCGCCAGAATGATGTAGGCAATGATCCTGTTTCAGAGAGAAGCAAAATTGGTTTCAATATATCAGACAGTGCAGAATATACTTATACTTTGCAAAGTACAAATTTAATTTGACTTATTACAAGTGTGTCTCATTGGTTGAAATTGTCTGATTTGTAACTTATTAATAGTATGGGTTACAAAGGAATAGAGATAAGCCAAATTTTGGTTTCAGTAAATGATGGAAATGATGGAACTCTACTTGCACTACTAGTACTCAATTGACATTATATTGTGCCTTGTTTCAGTACTGCTTGAAAGATATAAAAGGTGCGTTATCTGTCGGCTTAAGAGACTAAACTAACAAGAACTCAGGACCTGAAGTATGTCTGGCAGAGAGACTATTGAGCGATGCTTGCGAGATTCATCTGTACGCTCAGGTATATAATTCGCTCTACTTCTTTTCCCTAAAAATACTCACGCATATATAAAAACCTGTAGCTATTGAGAATGTTGGATGCTCGATTGAAATCAAGGAGGTTGTAGACGTTGTCGGAGCACCGCCAACCAAATATGTTGTCAGTGAGTGCATTGTTTACTGATTATAACTTAAGCAACATTGGTGACTTCGCTCCAAAGAAATGCTGAGACCAGAGGGGTCCAGTGGGCTTGCAACCAGAGCCAACCAAGTACTCTCAGGATCTAAGAGAACTATAAAGAAGATTGAGATACAAGCAGATGAGCATGGAAATGTCCCACTGAATGAAACTTGGCAGACATTTCTTGACGGATTCCTCCCAGCAATGAACTCAAGAGAGGTTCGCCAAATGGACGAAAAGATTAGGAAAAAGAAACTCGCACAAGAAAAGGCAGAAAGGGAACAGAGAGAAAGAGATCAGGCAGGTCCATCATCAAGCCGCCATTCAGCTCGTTGATTACTGGGAGAAGCCCAGTAGCAGACTACATAATGTCTTTCGAGTTGTTGACTTAATGATGAAATCAATATATAATAGTGAATGAGAGTATTTAGATAGAAACAATAAAGATAGATATCAATAAGGAACAATATTGATGCTACAAAAGAGATTGTTCTAAAGTGCTGCCAAAGAAGAGATATTTAAAGCTTGATTTTATACAGTATAATGACTGACTAAAGGAATTATGAAACACTGTTGCACTATTGTCAAGACAGACTTTCTCCACCCAGCTTTCTGAGGCTATGTGCACCACCTTTGGGCTTTCGACTCGATTTTTCTTATTTCTCAGCCTCCTTATTTTTTTTATTTTAAAAAAAGTAACCTGTCTTGATTATATTCCCATCTGTTGTTGACTTGCTGACCTGTCTCTATTAGTCCCTTGGCAATTTCCTGTGGAGCACAATCCCTGAGTATTGTGCTCCAGTGTCCATGGTTGACTGAGTATGAACTTGATCTAATGTTCATTAGGATATCAGCCCAGGTGTCTGTGTCTTTTTACTGTACAAGGATATCCCTTTGTGCTCTAGTGTTTATGAGAGAATGTTAGAATCGCTACTTCCATGTTTACTTAAACAGAAGACAAAAGTCCGATAAGTGCTATCTGCCAATGGAAACGCCAAGTACTGGTTTACGTTAGATTTATCTATCAAGATTAAATACAAAGGGACATCAGAAATCTACTATACACCGCCATCAAGGCTGGCTTTATAATTTTCTTGATTAACACAAATAAGGAGTCCATGTAGGGTAAAGGGGATATCAATGCAACGAGCAACTGTCGTAGCAAATTAACCAGAACTTCTAACATCCGTATACACTCGCATTGTAACTCCCGATGGCTTGGCAAACGCAAGAAGGAAAACACTGCGAACGTAATTCCCTCAGCGGTGGTGCAACTTTGCTCTTGGCCCTGCTACATATTATTGACGAGTTGGCAACGGAGTGACGGCTGGACTTTGTACCGAGTTGGTCTCGGACAAGAATGTCTTACTACAAAATGCATTCATTAATACCATCAGTTTATCGTACGTAATTGCAATAAATGAATGATGATTAGAGCTTACTCTTCAAAATGCGTTCCGCGCTTCGGGTTAAGACGCCGCTTCATCATCGTTTTGCGAACCTTCCGCTCTGGACGGACGACGATGACTGGTACAGGAGAGTGCGAAAGACAGTATCTACAAAACATGCGTTAATTAGCGCAAATCTGGTGACAAGATATGGTATCCCTACTTTGATACGCTGCCCATCCCACCAAAGGCGGCACCAAAGACTTTGACACCTCGTAGACCACGGGTTCCAACGACGAGTGAGTCTGGCCTGTACAGAGCGATGAGCCGTTCAATCGTTTCTGTGACTTTTCCAGCAATAAATTCAACGATTATAGAAATCTGCATATGAGAGTGAAAACGGGGAGTTCTAAGTTGGTAAATGGGGAGTGAGTATTATAACACTTCCCTTTCGGTCGGGATCATATTCCGTGTTCAACCGTTGCACTTGTCGCAGAAGTTCACGGGCTTCTTCTCGAACGACTTCATGATCCCTGTCTAGAAATCGGAAAATAAATTTCAGTCCGCAATTTGCAAGTCAACGCAAAAAGAATTTTACCGAGCTCCTCTGTATCAAATCCTCTAAATACAATGAGCTCGTCCCCATCTTGAACCAAACTCTCCATCACCCAATCCAAAGCTTCAGTGCCACTCTCATCTGGACTTGCAGCGACAAGAAACACGCGTGTACTTCGGTTCCGCTTGTATCCGTCTGATTTGACCGGTAGCGTGAAGCTAAACATCGGAGCAGCGGGATTCTCGAAGGTGTCAAAGGAAACTTTGGGTGTGTAGCCCGAGGCGCCATATACGGCGGAAGTACTTGATGAGCCCGTCGACGTAGGGAGAAGAGGGACACCAAGGAGTTGTTGTGAGGCCATTGCTGCAAGGTTGGTGTCGGAGGGCGGTGACCTGGGGGATGAGGCGACTGAGGACGAAGAAGCGGGTGTGCGTATAGGTGTCTGAGGTTGCTTTAAAGCAGACCGAAGTCCGGTCGCAGGTGGAAGCGTGATATGCTGAGGCCTGTCGGTCATTTTGCACAAGATTTTCGCGTCTGTCCTTGTTGCCGGTGAAGAAACGCGCTTGTCGTCGTCGGTGATGTCCCTTTGGTGGTGCGGTCGCGAGACGCGGTGACTCTGAGCTGAGTGAATGCGCTGCCGAAGACAAAGTACAGGGCCAGCTGAGCCCTACGGAACATGCCGAGATACAATTAAGTAAGCCTCCCAATTAGGCGTGCCGATCAATAACTATTCATTCCTTGTCACCATCCACCATGTCCAGCAGTGAAGGAGGTGCCTCGAAAGAGTCGTCGCCAGAGCCATTATCCTCAAGAAGGGTCTCGACGGCAGAGGAGCGGGAAGAAGGTAGCCGGGAAAAGAGTGAATCGCCAGAGTCCGAGTCCGGCGCGTCGCAGTCTCGACCATCTGAGGAGGATACACCCGCTGGTCCACCAGGAGAACCTTTAACATCAGACGACGCAAAAGCAGCTGAGCCCCCCTCCAGTACTGATAATCCAGAAGGTTTAACCCAGCCAGTAGCGACAAACGCTCATGTAAATGGCGACTGGCAAGCTATCTGGTCTCCCCAACATGGGATGTACTACTTCTACAACTCGCGCACGAACGAAACGACTTGGACAAACCCGCTCGTGTCAGACTCTTCTTCAGCCGCTGCCACCTCCGCTTCTGCCTCATCCGCTGCAAGGCTGAGCGCCCAAGAGGCTGCCGCCGCAGCGGGCATAGATCCCGAGCTTGCCTTTCTCGATCCAACCCTTGTAGCAGGACCTTCGCAGCCTGCAGCATTCAATTACACGGCAAAGTTTAACGCCCACACTGGGGCATTTGCAAAGCCTGATGCACGCAATCCCGAACACGTGTCGGAATACGAGAGAATGAAGCGGATGAATAGTTTTTACTTTGACCAGGATGCATGGCAACAAGATGTTGAGCAGAGACAAGAAGAGGAAGAGGCGGGAAAGAAGAGGAAGAAACCAACAAAGAAAGATTTGGTAAGAAACGTTTTATTTTACTCCTTGTGTAATTTAACGGTTACGAATACTATCCATTTATAGGAGACGTTCAAGGAGAGGAAAAAACAGAAGAAGCTGGCGAAGACGGCATGGCTGCGTACTTAGAGCGTCGCCTGTTCCCTCGTTCTCTTGTTCGTTTACATATATAAATTGTCGTTCACCTTTCTTATCACGTTTACAGACTTGCTTTCTCGACCTTTACTTCGCCCTGCACCACCTCCAGGAAGAGCTTGAGCGCTGCTTCTGCAAACTTGATCATATTGACATCTCGCTCTGCAGTGCCTGTCTCGACTTCCCTGGTTACGGTTCCGTCCGCTGAGGCAATTGCTAGGGCGACATAACCACTATAAGGAACTAGTCGGTCAATTGCAGCGGGCTGAAGTGCCTGCATTGCTTACGGGGTACGGTTCCTCGTCGTGCCACCAGTCGGACCCGCCGTCCCAGACTCTCCGATGGCATATGTCGCATCAAGCTTCTCACGAGCGTTCTTCGCGAGCCCAGCAACGATTTCCGGCGTCGGTCCGCTTCACGTCACATGAGCACGCATATTCAATTAATAATTAATAGCCCATCTCAATTCTCTTGCGAGTTGTGAGTTGCGCGCGGCATGTAAGATGAAAGCCAAGATTGCCGGAATGCCGAGATGGAGATCGGGTGTAATTAGTCCATATGTAGATCATTTCCGCGCAACAGCTCACAAAAACTCGCAAGCACTCCAGAGTGCTTGTGAGTCAGCGGAGTTTGAAAAAAAGTTGTACTTCTTGAAGGATTTACGCTGTGTGATCGACGAAAAAGAAGAATACGGTCTCGTGACCGTGCAGAAAGATGCGCGTCTATGCATATACACTATATTTTTTTGCATATCTTACGCTCTCCATTCTTTTATTGCTCATCCAAACACCTTTAAGTCATGCCACCAGTCAGATCTATGCCTATGCAGCAAGCTCAAACCTGTGGTCTTATTACTGCTATTATTCTTCTCCTTGCAAAGACAGATGCAGAACGGCTTCACGCTGTTCTTCTTATGTACCTCGCTTCCCAGCAGCTCGTTCGCATTCGTCCAAGCATCCGTGGCCCATACAACATGGTGCATTCCGAAGATTACCTGGATAACATCCTGCATAACGTATCTCCAAGGATATTCAAGTCATTCTTCAGGTGCGTCTTGAAGGTTATGAATCATATGCATGCCACTGCACTCACATATGATCTATTCCAGAGTCGACCGTACTTCTTTTGATCGCATACATGACTTAATCAAAAATCATGAAGTCTTCGTGCCTACTGGAAAGAAACCCCAGGCTCCTGTATGGCACCAACTTGCTGTTTTCTTGCTGCGCTATGGATCCGATCCTACTGACAAAGCAGCTGAACAAGCATCAATTGCTCATGGGTCTGTCTACCTCTACTGCAAGAGAGTCATCAAGGCTCTTCGATCTCTACGTCCTATCTATCTACATTGGCCCAATCCAGCAGAAAAGGTCGAAATGAAGGAGCGGATGACAGCAGAAGGCTTCCCAGGATGCATAGGAATGGTAGACGGCACCCTCATCTGTCTTGCTAATAGGCCACGGAAAGATGGAGACCTGTACTTTTGCAGAAAGAAATATTACTCGGTGAGTTGGTCCGTGCCTTCGAATATGATTATCTCCTCGCTGGTCAGCATTTGTACTACTTATTCAGATGTTTGTTTTCGTATACTATTCTGTGTATGATACAACAAATACTCAGCTATATTGTCTTTTTACGGTTTTAGATTGCAGTTCAGGGGATTTGTGACAACTCGATGCGTTTCCTGGAATATGACTTGGGCTGGCCGGGAAACGTGCAGGATACAACGATATTCAGAGAGTCCGGAGTGTGGAAGAAGAAAGCTGCGCATTTTTCCAAGGGTGAATTCCTCTTGGCAGACAAAGGTCCGTCTTCTCTCAGCTTTATATCTCAATGTGCAATGCTCACTCGCATTCTTGCATTGCTGTCATTAGGATATCCCCTTACTCAATTTACTATCTGTCCGTTTGCCGAATGTGACCTCACGCCCGATCCAGTTGAGAAGAATCGTCGCCGTAAATTCAACTGGCAGCTGTCTCATTGTAGGATTGCCATTGAGCATACTTTTGGTATGCTCAAAGGCAGGTTCCCTAGCCTTTGCAATTTTCCAGGCTATGATTTAACTCACATGTATTTGGCTGTAGAAGCCTTAATGGTGCTTCATAACATACTCATCGATCTTAGAGACAATCCAATGGAAATCGAGGGCTATAACGGACTTGACGATCACAGTATTGATGTGGCAGAACTAGACGATGTTGCACGAGTTCGACAGCGTGAAATTAATGCCTTCAACAATGGAGAGTTGCACGAAGCAGGAATACACTGCAGAAAGCGAATTATGGAGTTTATGGAACAACAGCGTATTATTTGACATGGTATACCCTGGAGGATTGGAAACATAGACTGCTTAAAGTTAAACAGTCGGTAGATACGGCCGTGTAGACAAGATAGATACACCTTTATTGATATGGATGGATACACGGTATTGTTATTACGACGCGTACAAAGAGTGATCCTACCGCAGTATCATTAGAACGCATACGTTAATCCCTCCGCAGTTACTGAGACGGAAGAAGATTCCCTAAAGGATCGGAAACGTAGAACGCTTAATATATTTGGTTATGATATCAACTACTTGACTGTACTGAAATATATGATGGGATACAATACTTATAGTTCGTTTTACAATGGCTTCCTTGCCAAGGTGACTGTAAAGTTATAACACACCCCTTATTCACTGTGCTCTTTTGCCTGTTCTGCTAGTATTTCCTCACTGAGAGCCTTTGCTAGTGCACGTTCGATAGGATCATTGGAATCCCTGAGCCTCCAGTAATTATCAAGCTTCGAGAGCTGCATCTCCTCACGTTCACACTTGTTACAAAGAATAGCTGTTTTGTTCTCAATATGCATTCTTTCTTCCTCCATTTTAGTGCACTTATCTGCCATCTTGTCCCTCTGTTTCTGGTATGCAAACCTTTCTTTTTCCAATCGTGCAGTCTTGCTCTGACTCTCCGTCATGTTTTGCAGGGTCTGAAAAAGTATGTCGTTCATTTCAGTTGTAGTATCGGGTTGTTTTCTTTTCTTTTCGTTTTTCTTGATGTCTTCGTCGATTTCTTCTGGGGAACAAGAAGAACTAAATTCTATTGCCTGGATGATATCTGCTTGGCCCTCTGCCCTGTGAAAGAACAAGTGAGTAAGTCAATCAAGTTTGTACAGAGATTGCAAGCTTGCTTAGAGACAAGGAACGATTAGGATGGCTATTGGGTAGAAGTTCGAGAGCAGCACAGAGCAGCTCAATAAATGGCTTCATCAAGGTCTTCTGGACACTTACACGCTCAAGATTTTTGCGTAGATAGGGCCCTGTGAGAACTTGATCATGGTAGCTGGTGCAAATTGCATACCAGCCTGTTTTCTCTTTTTCTTCAGTTTCTTCTCTCCTTTCTCCTCTTTTTTCACCTCCTCTTTGTTCCCCTCGATATCAGAACCAGTACATTCGTTTATATCAACTGTGATCAAGTCATCATCATCTGGATCCACATCACCATCTCCTCTGCCAGTGTGATTAAGAAACCCTGAAAAAAAGGTGAGCAGAGTATATGCTCACAGAAATATAGATACATACGCCTTGTTTCCTTGTACAACCGAAATATAATGTTCCATTTGGTCGTACACTGTGCTGGAGTGTACTGATTGTCGAATACAACTTGAGAAGCCTTGAGAAAAATTGCAAAGGTGAGGAGCAAATATTGTGAGCAAGACCTGAAGAAATACATACCTTCAGCATAATTTTACTCAAACTGTTTGAGACCTTATTCCAATTCTCCGGTGAGCAGACAAACTCAACAAGCTTGAGAGTGGTTCCCTCGTCCCATTTTGCTTTTGTTGCCCCCGAAACAACAAGTTCGCCCTCATTTTTGACCTTCTCATCAACATCGGTGTCCGATATACCAGAAGCGCGTGCATTCCTTCCAGACCTAGAACCCTTTCCTGTCTTCTTCGTCTGTGCCTTAGGATTTACCTTCGGTGCTTCTTCTGCCTTGGGGGAAACGACTTGAGGAAGTACTTGAGCTCGCTGATGCATGGATTGCATCGGATATGGGTGTGCTGGAGCCATTGCCATTGAATGAAGTGCTTGAGCTGTGTCTGGCCAGTCAGGCTCAGGTGTCTGTGAATGCGAGATTGGGCTCGGGGTGACAGGCCCATAAAACCCAGCCGAAAACTGAGTCTGGGTGAAAGATGGTTGTGTATATGTATGTGCATGAGATGAGTTAAATGGGATTACAGGAGTTTGAGGCTGAGAAGAGGCCCTAAATGGGTCTTGAGACTGCTCAGGATTCATAGGGAATTGTCTGAATGAAAAAATGACTGTTTTTCGCTGTATTCTTTGCGATGTCTTACTCTTGTTCCTGGTGCTCCTCTCACTTTTTACTGTTTATGGTAGGCTTACAAATTTTTATTATTTAACATTAATTTAACTACATTTAATGATCGACAAGCTATGCACAAGTCGATCACATCAATTCTTTGCAGTTGTGAGGGTGCTCGGCATCACTTCTTTCAGGGGTTTCTGCAAGCCGAGCTTCCTCGCAACTCACAACGCGCAACAGAATTGAGATGGGCAATGTCATGCTCACGCATAACCCTTCAAACTCTCCTCCGTCCATCCAGCATACGCAATCCTAGAAGGAAGGGTGTATAGTGTAAGTCCTCCACGGTAATACACAGATGCGCCTGGGATGGAGAGGAGTGAGGCGGATATGAGACCGCCTGCAGCTGTTTCAGCTACTGCGACTGTTTGTTTGCGCTCTGTGAGGAGTGCGGCGATCGTGGTTAGGAGTGGTCGAAGTGGAGCGGGTGGGAATAATGATGATGAAGTTGATTCTGTGTTCATGTTCCCGTATTCTTTGACTTTTGATACTTGTGCTCAAGGTAGGGTCGCTGGCTGGGAGCAAGATGTCGAGACTCGTGGATTGATAAGCTTGAGAGTCAATGAGATGAGACTACTTTGATGACGTCGAATTTGTCAGCATAAGGTTTATTGCATTCCTGTATTCTCACCATAGTAGTACTTTCTTGCATGCTGACCACGAAATCGGATTATATTTGAGTCTCATATCCTATAAGGGATGCCTTTCCGATACGAATGACGTGCAACCTCATTACCTCGTGGTCAAGGCTGGTTTCTCGCTATATTTAATGTGTCTGCTAATTTATCCACAGTACTAGTCAGTAGTCATGGTCTCCTTGTCAGCACATAAGGTTAAAGATGAGCAACTGGTAGTAAGTAATGAGCACTTAACTGTAGCACTTCTGATTCTCTTTACTGTTCACATGCCCAATCTGACTGTTGTAAAATTGTCAGCAACAGTGTAGAGGGGACCCAAA